TGAAGAGAGGTTAGAGAACTCGGTACCCCCAAAGAACACCTAGATAGAGGTAAGTCACTACCTCAATTAAGATTGTGAGACGTAAACTTACCAAAGACTTCTACTTAAGATATCGAGTGAAAGGACCAAAGGGCTATAGAACGTAAGTAGCTCATTGGTCTACCCTTTGAGAAGATTGAGATGTTAACAAATAACTCCATATTTCTAAAGAAATCCTTTGAGAAGATTGAGACGTTAGACCTCATAACTTTAAGGTTGTGAGATGTAAACTTACGATAGGTGGAAGGACCAAAGGGCTATAAAATGGAAGTAGCTCATTGGTCAACCTTACGGTCATATACGGAGTACTTCGTATCAAAATACTCCGTATTCTTCGTACATATCACACTTGAATCAGTATGTCGAGGTGGCCAGTGGGCCGGGTTGGACCCAGCCCACCCTAACTCGCACGGCTGGTGGGTCACGTGGGTCCGACCCGGTTTCAATCCGGCACAGCCCGGCACAGCTCGGATTTAATCCGGGTTGTGTTGTGGGTCCAAAATTTTCGACACAACCCATTTCAACCCAGCTCAGTTTAACCCGTTTGATTCGACCCAAATCGCACAACCCGTTTTGACTCATTTAATTCGACACACCTAGCCCGTGAACCCACCTAACCCGACCCACCTGGCACAACCCAGCCCGCACGGCCCACCCGCACGAATGACCCACCCAACCCGCACGAGCCAACCCACCTAACCCGCACGCATGACCCACCCAACCCGCACGCATGACCCACCCAACCCGCACGGCCGGCACAACCCGCACGGCCCGCACAACCCGCACGGCCCGCACAGCCCGCACAATTCGCACGACCCGCACGGCCCGCACGGCCTAACATCCATTTTAAAAAAAAAAACGGCTAGTTTTTTGTATCTAACGGCTAGTTTTTTGTATCTAACGGCTAGTTTTTTAAGTGTATGATCATCCATTCTATTTTTCCTATAAATACCAATTCCATTTCACTCAAATTTCCACACAAATTCAAGCTTTCTTTCTCTCTTACTTAAAAATTCTTATTGTTCTCAAATTCTCAAGTGTTATATAGAGTTATATTTTTGTTAAAAAAAATCTCCTTAATATTATTATTAGTATTCTTAAGATTCTAAAAAAAAAAAGTTCTTCTCCATATTATAATTAGTAATCATACAAAAAAAAATGAGCTCAAGAGGAGGAATGGGAAGGAGTCAAAGTGGTGGTCGAAGTGGTAGCCAAAGGAGTGGTGGTGCAAATTTTTCGTATGAAATTAATACGGAAAATTTAAACCAATTTGTCAATGAATATGGAGATTATGGTTTAGGAGATAGGCAAAATATTCAAACGTCTCCACCACAACATTTCTCCCACGAGTCCCACCAATCATCAAGTTCAACTATGCCACCTCCATCGCAACCAACATCTCAACCTTCATCTCAAGGTAATTTCTAATTAAATTTTTATTGTTATGAATATTTAAAAAAACTATTATTAATGATTATAAAGTTAGTTTAGTTTCCAATTTTCTATGATTTACAATTAGTTAATTACCATGAAAAATGCGTTTAAATAAGTATAATTAAAATATTTAAAATTTAAAAGCTTATTTTCATGAATAGCATTTAAAAATTAATTTTAATAATTTGATTTATGAAAGGTGGTGGCGGTGAAAGTAGAGGTCGAGCACATTTTTCTTGGGTGTGGAAACATTTTGAACGAGTTGAGGTCACACCCCCGGGATGGCAACCTGGTCAACCAAAGAGGTTCACGTGTACATGCCTAGTTTGCAAGGCGCTAGGTGCAAATGTCAAGTCATATAATTGGAAAACGGGAGATGGAACCGGAACCTTGAGTCGGCATTTGCAAAATAAACACGACTTGTTCGAAAATGGCCCCCGTCCTTCGGGGGGTGGCGTCCAAACACAATTGGGTGGATACATGAACCAACCCGGCGGAGGTACACCTTTCATTTATAATAAAGATAGAATGATTGATGAAATGAGTACTTTAGTTATTGCTAATGAATACCCTTTTAGTTACGGTGAAAATGCAAACGTTGAGCATTTTAATAAAGTTGCATTACAACCTGCATTTACTCGTGTCCCCCGAAATACCCTAAGACGTTATACACAAACTTCTTATTATAAGTATAGGAGTGATTTGATTGAATTATTTCGTACTTTTGATGGTCGTGTTAGTTTTACAAGTGATACATGGACTTCTAGTTTTGGCGAACCTTTTCTTTGCATTACTGCTCATTGGGTGGATGATGATTGGTTTATTCAAAAACGTATACTATGTTTTCAAGCTATGGAAGAAAGGCATACCGGTTTTAACATCAAAGTTCGTATTTTGGATTGTTTAAAAGAATTTCACTTGAATAATAAAGTTTTTTCTTTGTCTCTTGATAATGCAACTGCAAACACAAAGTGTATTGACTATTTGAAAAATGACTCCGAGTTGAATTTGTTGTTGGGTGGTAGTCTCTTGCATGTTAGATGTTGTGCTCATATTTTGAATTTGTCTGTTCAAGAGGGTCTCGCTGAGTTGCAACCATTGCTAAACCCAATTAGAACAGTTATAAAATGGATTAGGATTACTCAGTCAGTTAGAAGAAAGTACATAGCTATGTGTAAAGAGAGAGGTCTTAAGAAAAGACAATGGTCTATTGATACCCCTACCCGTTGGAATTCTACTTTCAAGTTGTTGAGTGATGCTATAAAGTATCGTGATATTTTGACCCAACTTTACAATGAGACTCGTGTTGATCCTACTGAGTTAATAACCGAAAGTCATTGGACTAATGCTTCTTTTGTTCGTGATGTTTTAAATGCTTTTGATAGTGCAACTCATATTTTCTCTTATATTTATGAGCCTAACGTTCATTTAGTCATAATTGAGTGTGTTAAAGTTGTTCACACCATCGAAGAGCATATGAAGATTGATGGACTTCGTCCCGTTCTTGATAGCATGAAACGTAAGTGGCATACTTATTTTAGTGAATTTCCAATCATTTATGGAATTGCTGCTATTCTTGACCCCGGTGTCAAAGCTGAAGGTTTGGAAAATCTTTTAGAATTTTATTATACAAGTTTAAGTATCGATTATGATGTTAGTGAATATATTAACAAATGCAAATCTGTTTTGGGAGACCTTTATGATCATTATGCATCTATTTATGGTTTTGATTTGGCAACACCAACTACTACTAGCACTTCCGATTCTAGATTTGGTTTTCTTGATAAAGTTATGAAAAAAAAACACAAAGCATCTACATCATTCTCATCATCATCTTCTTCAACACTTGCTATTAATGATTATTTGTCATATCAACATGAGACCAACAACAACTTTCAAATTATAAAATGGTGGCAAGAACATAAAAAAAGTTTTCCTATATTGGCGAGAATTGCAAAAGATATACTTGCAGTTCCCGCTTCATCTGTTGCTTCCGAGTCTGCTTTTAGTGCAGGTAGAAGAGTGTTAGATGAAAAAAGATCTCGCTTAACTCCGGAAAGCATTCAAATTTGTGTTTGTAAGAAAGATTGGGATCAAGCTGAAAGAAGAACTCAAGGTTTAAAGGAAGACGAAGACGATGAAGATGATCCTGTGATGATATTGGAGTCGTCAACGGATGATGCAGCTTCCGGGGATGATGATGCAACAAACATGGGTGGCTAGAAAAGTCTAAATCAGGTACGCTAAGAACTACGTGGGCTTTGATTCTTTCGGGATACGTAGGCAACTTATTTTTCGAAAATTACAATTTAATTGCAAAATTAAATTTTAGTTTTCTAAAGATAGGTCCAAGCCCCCCCCCCCCAAATTTCAAAAGAAGTACAATATAAGAACTACGCTGGCTTTGATTCCTTATTTTATAATATAAGGATACGTAGGCATCTTAATTAAGAGCAAGCCATCAAATTGTTAATTTTGTAAAAATTAAAACACCACACAACCCACCCGACCCTAACCCACGAACCCACCCGACCCTAACCCACAAACCCACCCGACCCTAACCCACCTAACCCACAAACCCACCCGACCCTAACCCACTAACCCACCCGACCCTAACCCACCTAACCCACCTAACCCACAAACCCACCCGACCCTAACCCACTAACCCACCCTTCGACCCACCCTAACTCACTAACCCACCTTGACCCGTCTAACCCACGAACCTAGCTCGACCCACCCATGACCCGTCTAACCCACAAACCCAGCTCGACCCACCCACGATCCGTCTAACCCACAAACCCAGCTCGACCCACCCACGACTCGTCTAACCCACGAACCTAACCCTGGTGTGTCCAACTTCTCCGACCCAACCCACGACCCGACCCACCCTACCCTACGTGTGTCGTGCCGTGTGTCATGAAACCCCAACCCGCGACCCACCTAACCCTAACCCAGCTCGCACGACTCGCACGGTGGACACCTGTATGTGGCTGTCACATGCTTGACATGTCAGCTAAGTTTAGGCAACTTCGCGGAAAAACACAAGAAAAATAACTTCAAATGAATTAATTTCTAGATAATTTCCCATACGTATGAGATTCAAATTTGAGTTTCTTACAAGGCTAGATTAGCCGTATAAATCTTATCTCGTTTACATCATTATAGCATCTTGTCTACATTACTACGGGAGTACTCTTTTAACAAATTAAAGTCAAGCCTACACATTGCAAGATGAAATAATACTTCAATTCTTCAGAGATTACAACAAATTTTTAGTACTTCGTACAACATTATTGAAATTAATTATTAAGTGTAATTTCGAATTTCGAATAAAATCACAGATTTTATCATCCATTAAGTATAATTTCGAATAAAATCACAGATTTTATCATCGATCATACAAAATGTGACGAGATAATAGCCTAATAAGTACGTAGTAATAACTACTTGTATATAATAATCAAGCTAAATATCAATATTACAAAACAATTATTAATTTAATTAAACTAAGAAAAAAAAAACCAAGATTGAGTAGATAATAAGGAAGATTTCATATCATTTGATTTCAATATGTACGGTAACACATTAAAGCTAATGATCGAACAAATTTCTTAAACATTCAATCTAAACCTTACTTAATAATAGAAAAATCCCTTTTTATCCCTCCCAAAAATAAAAAAATAAAAATTCATCTAGGAATACTCATCATTCGGCTAAAATCCTGAAAACAAACAAATCCATCATTATTAATATCCACACCTTCTATCATACGCCGGCAATCCTCTAACGTACACCGTTCATCCCCCAACGCAACAAACCCCGCGTGCAACTCACTCGCCGATATCTTCCCATCATGATCCGAATCAAAGAAATCAAACGCACCTTTTAGATCTTCTTCATTCGCAGCCGTCGGATCAAGCGCAGATCCAACGGCTTCTAGCTCTTTTAGGCTGATGCACCCGTCTCCGTCCATATCGATATCCTTGATCATTGCTGCCACCTCTTCTTCGCTCAACGACGGCGCGTTTACTCTCACGCGCTTGAAGAGTGAGTGAAGTTCGACTCGAGTGATCTTACCGTCCCCGTCGAGGTCGATCATTTTGAAGGCTTCTTCAGTCCAAGGGTCGGGCCGGAGGGAGATGTCCTCGGATTTGGTTCGGCCCGGTGCTGGGCCCGACCGACGGTGGGTTGAAGAATCGGAGGAGGTTGAGGAAGAGTATGAAGTGGATCCGAATGATGGTGGTTCGGATTTTGTGATTGATGGTGATGATTTGGGTTTTTTTGACCGGAATATTTGTTTTGGGTTCATTGATTTCAGGAGTTGCTTCATTGTTGTGGATTTTGAAGGTGGTTTTTGGTATTGACGGTGGTTCTCGAAGGTGGTTTTTTATGGCGGTTGAAGGAGGATAGAGAAAGGAGGGAGGAGAGAGAAAGGAGGGAGGAGTTTGGGATGAAGGGAAAGAGAAGGGAAGAAGAGGGTGGTTAAGAAGGGGAGGGAGGAAGCCATAGAAGGGGGGGGGGGGGGAGGGAGCTTCCAGGAAGTTTCGTGGGATTCAGACTTTTTAGGGGATAGAGGTTAAATTCACTCTCTAATTTTCTCTTTCTGTACTTACACCAGTATTTCTGTTGTATGGATTTTTTTTTTTTTTTTAAATTTCATTTTTTGGTTTTGTATTATTCTATCTTGATGTGATAGATTTTTTCATATCAGGTGTCCAGGTCCGAGGTGCCACATGGCCTTATTTTTTTTACTTATCTAATCTTATTATAACTTACCTAAATTTAATGTTCAAAGTTTTGTCTTGACAAATATATTGGTCAAACTGATGCATTTGAAAAAAGCGAGAATATCTAGTTTGTTAATGGAGATAAAACTATTTTAAGATGCGTCTTAAAAACCGAAAAAAGTCGAATGGGGCAAATATTAAGGACAGAAGGAGTATAACATTGGTGATGACTGATGAGTGCTATAGTTTCTTAAAACATCATGAAGTATGCCCTCTATTTCAAAGTAAATGTCCATATTGGCTGTCATATTTGTCAACATAAAATTTTGACCGCTAATATCTTTTATTGTTAATATTAATAAATTGTAAAATGTCAATACTCGGAAAATGTATATTTAAATGATTTTAATAAGTTCCAACATGGTTATGTTTAATCTTATGTATAAAATACTAATAATGGAGGCTGAGTTAAAATGGTGTGTATGAATAATGCAAAAGTCAAATTGAGACACTAATTTTGAAACAGATTGATTACAATGTATAATTTTTCTTGAATAATGCAATAATTTATTGCATCCCTATCCATTTTATTTTCCTTTGAGAGATTGCATTCATATCCAACAAAGTGTTAACTTATTTGGTTAACTCTAACATATTTTTTAAGAAAATTCATATATGTTTTATCTGTATTAGGTATTTCCCTCATGAGGAGGGTTTTCTACAATCCTACCTCCATTTTTTAAAATATTTGTAACCTTTTCTCATTTCATCATGCTTATTAATAAATTATTTAAATTTCTAATATGTTTAATCATCAATAGATTATTAAAAAATGATGTTATAAATATATAGATTGAGACAATTCTAATAAGATTCCACTTGACGATATTTTACTTTAACTGTAAATTAACAAAGCTATCTAGTCAAAGTAGAATAAGTGAATAATGCATAAGTCACTATGTTGCAAGTAACAAAAGGTCACATTCCCATCAAAATGATCCGAATCCAATTCTTGTTGTATTTAATTGGTAGGTGTGTTTTGGTTGTATTTTGTAAAATTAAGCTTAAAAGGTTGTAACTTGCAAACGAGTACTCTAGCTTATTGAATTTAGCAAATTTTCCATAGTTTTTCAATTAATGAAAGTGTAATACCCTAAATTGTTGCTAGTAAATAGAGAAATATTAAAATATTAGTGATGTCATTCGTAAATTAAAGGGTAAACTCAATGTACGTAAGATGAATGAAATAATTTCGTGCTTATGAAATATATCCCACAGATATACACTCTAAATAATATTTTCAAATTTATATAATCACTTCATAATTGAGGACAACGCTGCTACATTAATTGATATATGTAATTATGTATAGCATAGAAATAAACGAGAATAACAAGAATTTTTTTATGAGAAAATACAAGTTTATCTCCTTGATAAACCAAATATCAAATGACAAAACTGTAAATAAATAAAGGAAAATTTGTAAATTACCACCCAAAAAGAGGTCCAGTTTTGAAATTACCACCCATTAAAAACTTTATTTTAAATAACCACCCATTAAATTAATTAATCTTTCAGATTACCACCCATTTTGATTTTCCGGTTGAAAATCCGTTTGAGGGGCCCATATAACTGCTATTAACGGCTAGTTTGACTTAATTGACTGGGTTTCTCCTCGATTTTTCGTGTTTATATATTTCCCAACTACAATTACTTGGAAAAAAAAATATATCTCCAATTAACAAATTCTTCCCCTAATTTCTTCCAAATTCCCCAAATTTGAACTGGTATTGTGCGACGAATTAATCCATTGAAGTTCAGACCCAATTGAATTCGCATTTGAGGTAAGACTCCTGAACTTTAAAAATTAGGGTTCCTGGGTAAATTTATTTGGGGGATTTTGCAATTAGGTTTCGTGGAAGTAATTAATTGGGTGTTTATGTTATTTTTCTGGTAATTGGTGTTGGTGTTGTCCAAATTTGGTGAATGATTGTTTATTAGGTTGAATAATGGTGTCAAATGTGTTGTTTTTTTTTAAAGAAAGATGTGAATGATTCATTCATGCATGAAGTTGTAAGCTTGGTTTTGTGTTGTTTTTTGTTGAATGATGTCTTGCAGAAATGGAAAGAGGGGATAAGTACATTTTCAGATTTAAGTATTTTAGTTTTGTTGTGGACCTTGAGTATGAAGTAGGCAACAGTAACTTACAGGACACAGCCATAGCTTTCGAAGATCAACTGCGTGACATGGAAGATCCAAGTGAAGGATCAATTGATCTTCTTTATCCTATATTTCAGTATATCTATAAAGGGAAGTATAGGACTTTAGAAGATGATGGTGATGTGTTCAAGATGATTAGGAGGTTGGGGAATAAGGATATGTACATCATACATGTTGGGAGCACAGATGACCCAGGGTTCTTAGCTGACTGTATCATTGAGTACAGGATGAAACAAAATGGGACTTGGCCACCCCCTGGTTATCCTCATTATGGGGGTCAACCACCACAGTGACTAGGTGTGCTTGTCTTAGAATAATATAATTGCTTGTGTTTGCTGGAAATGTTGCACAAACTGAGTTGTTGCTTTGTAAATGCAGGTTAGAAAATGTCTTGGAATAACACATCTCCCACTAACCAGAAGAAATGCAATTGTGGACTGCCCTTTGCTAGGTTGACATCTTGGACCAGAGAGAACCCAGGAAGGAAATTCAAGGCTTGCAAATTCTATGACCCTAACACTGAAACTAGAGGGTGCAAGTGTTTTGAATGGATTGACACTGAAGATGGAACTGAGTGGCAAAGAGATGTGATCAACAATCTTTTGCTTGACAAAAAATTGATGAAAGCTGAAGTGAACTATCTGAAAAGGGATGTTGATGACTTAAGTGGGCAGAGAAGGTGTCTTCTTAATGAGGTGGATACATTGATAGTGAAATGCAAGGCTTTAAGTGGAGATAGGAAGAAGATGCTCAATGGTAGTGGCAATCCTGATAGCAAGCTAATGATTGTTGTAGTTGTTTTTTGGTCCTTAATTTTAGTTTTAGGTCGTGTTGTAGTTAATAAACTGGTTTAAGGGAGGTGTAGTTGTTGTAGTAGTTGTTGATTATAATGTTGAACTTGTTATTTTAGTAATGGAATGAACAAGTATTTCTGGTTTATTTGGCTTATGTGTTATGTTTGCTGATGCTTTTTATTAGCTTCCTTATTTGTTGATTGTTCTGTAAAAGAAAAATAAAAGGAAATAGAATATGGGCACACCACAATTTAATCAACGCAGTTGCAGCTAAATGAATTAAGTATTTGGGCAAAGTTTGTCCAAACCAAACTGTCAATTTCATTGAAACAACATCCAAGATTACACAAGTCACAAAATACAACCTAACACTACCACCTTCTAATTACATACTATCCAAAATATGAGAAACTAACACTAACACCTTCTAATTGGTACCACCTTGAATCTTGTATTTCATTCAAGTTGGAACAGTGTTAGCATAAGTAGTTGTTGAGGCTTGGCTTGGTTGACTTAAAGGTTCTTGCTGGTGACTCTGCTGAGTCTGCTGACTTTGTTGCTCCTGCTGTTGTTGTTGCTTCTGCTGTGCTTTCTGCTGTTGCTCCTTCCTGTATTGCTCTTGAGGGAATGTCCTGTTCCCAATGCTGTTAGGTCCAACAGTAGCACCTAGTGCACTTTCCTAAATTTGGAATACAACAGAAAAGTAGTTAGAAACACATATCATCTAAGTACTAAAAAAAATAAAAATCCACTTTGCTTTGAGTGTTACCTTCTGCAATGCTCTGAGGTTTTTCTTCTTTCTTTGTTCTTTCACCCAGTCACTATCAGATTGGGGTCTACCTCCTCCTTTTTTTGGTGAAGAAACTGCTAGTGGAGTAACTGTAGGGTTCTTGCAAGTTTTTGCATAGTGACCTTGCTGCCCACAGTTGTTGCAGGTACTCCTCCTTTTCACAGGCTTTTGCACAGATTGTCTTTGGGCACCCTCCTCTCCCTGCTCCAGCTTTCTTTTCTTAGATTTAGGTCTTCCAGGCTGGATCTTGATGGCTGGTGCTCTGAGGTTGACCTTGTCCCAATGGTGTGGGCCAGGCATTGGTTGTACTTCAAACCTATAAGCCAACATATAGGTGTCAACAGCATATGCACTGTCCACATAATCTTCAGGGTCTGCTCTCTTGTCCATGATGCATGCATATGCATGGACACAAGGGATACATGTCAGCTCCCAATGATAGCATGTACTTGTCCCTTTACTTAGGTCAACTGTAACTAGATCAGAGTTCAGTTCAACCTCATATGCATCATCCCTAGATACTTGCACAATGCAATGCCTTGCAACTGGTTCAATTCTTTTAAATGTTTTCTTCACATATGGAGTTACCTTGCCCTCCATTTTCTGAAAACACTCCCACTTGTCATGATTCCTTTTCATCATATACCTCCTAAGCCACTCCATTTGTGTCAAAATAGGCTTATCCCTAGCTTCTTTTATCACAACATTGAAGGTCTCACAAACATTGTTCAAAAGCATGTTTGACTTTGGAAAGGAGCTAAATGCATGCCTAGACCAGTGCTTAGGAGGGATGTCAGCAAGGTATTCATATGCCTCCTCAGACAAGAACTTAATGGATTCCATGGCAACTTCAAAATCAAACTAAAATGTGCAGTGAAAAAAAAAATCAAGACATATCAAACAAACCTACATTATTGACAGCAGGATTTACTAACAGCACTAGATAAAA